GCATAACGTTAACTTCTGCAGTTTTAGTGAAAGGTATAGGAGAGATTAAGATTCACGTTTACCGCAAACGGCAAACCTCGCACTCAAGTTGAGAATTTCTCAGAATAGAAAATAAGCAGATAAAAACAGTCCCGAACGATTCCTATAGTTAAAACTGGCATACAACTACTTCTTTTTGTGTAGAAGCAATAAAAAGTAAACGGAAAATAAGGTGAAGACTTGGTCACGTGGTACAAATTCACGTCTGCCGTTTGGCGTAAAAGTGAATCTTAATCTCTCTAATCTATAAACTACAGGCCACTGATCGAAACATCGAACACTTTCAAAGTGGGCGTATCATCATGCTCACAATCCGTGGTTTCTGATTAACTGTTCAGCTTGCCGGAGTCTTCACGTACCTCCAAAAGTCGTTCGAAATGTGTTATTTTGAGTTTTTGGGATTAGATTTCCTTTGGTCACTGTAGGTACCGTTGTTGGCTGCAACATTGGTATCTTTATAAGTTTTCAACATGCAAAACAAAGAAAATATTGCTTCGCACCAGGAATGAAGAAGAACCTACCATGCAAACTAAATGCTCGACAAAGGCCTTTCTATTCATGTCCTTATCTAGCTTTTTCTAGGGGATAAAACATATTTATTGCGAGACCCCACTAAGGCGAACAGCACACTAATCTTTGAGAATCCCGAGGTCCCTTTGGTGTGCTGCCGCAAATTAAATTAGGTTTCTCAACCTGGATTTATGATTGTTAGAATAACTTTGAGCAAGCATACGTCTAGCGCTGTCAACATAACCTGCATGCCTCATCTCCTGCCCCTCTTCGCCGTCCAGCATGGTTTGCCGGCAACGGTCGCCTTAGCTTGTTTCAGTTATTCAGATAGTGGGGAGTGGCGTAAAATGGAGAGGGGAGGGAAAAAGCAGAAAAAAAGGAAAAGGGAGAGCTTAGGTTTAAAATGAAGTATCATTGAGCCGGTTTGGATTAGACAAACTCAAAGCAAGGGGCTCACAAACACCAACCAACGGTTAACAACCAACGGCTTAAACCAACTGGCCAGTACCTCACCCATGCATATGCGCACAGCCATATCACCCAGGCAGTGGCAGCCTTGAACAGTTGTTACGCCCTTATTGAATTTACTGGCACGCTTATTACGGCTCCCACATTAGTTTTGTTGAGCTGGCGTTGTTGTTGTTGATGGGGAGGAGTTGGACTGTTGTAGTGAAAGTAGACAACAACTTAGCCTCAGATGTATAACGTACCGTCTTGAAGAAATACAGCCGAATGCGTGGCAGTAGTACCTAGCCATCTCATCCATCATAGGTCATCGTCTGAACTGCCAATCAAGCGGTACGAATCCTGGAACTTTGCAGCACCCGTCTTCAAGAGAAAGGCTTGAACATCGGCGGAACTCTAATGTCTGCGGAAGGAGCGGGCCTTGTTCCTGTGCGAATTTTTAACACATCTGACAAAGCGCAAATTATGAGCGCGCAAACTGTTGTAGCTGTGGCTAAACCAGTGACCAGTGTAGCAGGGCTGGAGATTCCCGATCAGACCTCGGATTGCTCTAAAAGTGCAGCTCACAAGATACACGGGGGTGGAGACGAGATTAAGGACACGTCACCAGATCCTCTCAAAGTGTAGATCAAAACAGTTGGTCGAAGAGGAAAGTCAGGCGGTCGCTGAGATGTTGTACCGACACAAAGATGTATTCTCCCTATCAAAGTACAATCTGGGCAGGACCAACCTGATAAGATTCCACACTGATACGAGAAATGCGAGATCTACCAAAAATCGAGAGGCAAGTAGAGGACTTGTTGCAGTGAGGCATTGTTAAGCGATAAAACAGTCCGTGGTCTTCTCCCTTAGTACTAGTGACTAAAAAAGATGGTTCCCAAAGATTTTGCGTTGATTGTAGGCAAGTGAATGCGGTGACTTTCAAGGATGCTTATCTGCTGCCGCACATTAACGACTCTTTGAGCGTGCTTTCTGGAGCAAAATGGTTCAGCACGTTGGATCTGCCTTCAGGATACTGGCGGGTTCCAATCATTGGCAAGGCTGCCTTCGTGACTAACGCAGGGCTGTATGAGTGGACCGTCGTGCCCTTTGCTCTTACGTAACAACCAAGTACTTTTGAGCGATTAATGGCACTGATTTTTTCGGGAATCAGGTTTGAAACGTGCTTGATATATTTAGATGATGTCATTCTGTATGAGAAATCGTTTGCAGCGGAACTTTGACACTTAGAGGAGGTGTTTACACGGATGAAATCTCTTGGACTTAAGCTTGAACCAGGCAAATTTGTGTTGTTTCAGCTGAGCGTCACGTATCCGGACCACTTTGTTTTGTGAACGTGGTATCAAGACTGACCCTGCTAATGTGGAAAGCGTGTGTGATTGGCTAGTGCCAAAGAAGGCGACTGACGTAAAGAGCTTCTTAGGATTTGCTAGCCATCATCGACGCTTTTTTCTAGTTTTGTTCAAGTGACTAGACCGCTTCACAAACTGACTGAAGCTCATGTTGACTTTGCTTAGACATTTGAGTGCCAGTCGTCATTTGACTAGTTGAAGATCTGCCCGACTGCCCTGGTCTTGTCACACCCTGAGTTTACAACAGCATTTGTACTCGACACCGACGCAAGCAATCATGGCATTGGAGCTGCTGTCCTAAGTCAGGTGATGTATGGGGTAGCGCATCCTGTTGCTTATGCCAGTCCTGAGCTGAGAGAAACTACTCTGTAACAATAAAAGAACTCTTGGCGGTAGTGGACTTGTTTCAGTTGTTGGCAGAGGAGGCGAGCTCAAAGGAAGTGTGCTACCACGGCGTCTGCTGATTTTATTCTAGCAGCAATGACAACAACCTCGTCCCCAGGGCTTTTCCCTCCAAAAATGGGTGGGGCGAATTACAATGTTGAACATGGCGGCTTGTTGAACGTTTGTACGCGTGTGTACGTTTCTGCGTTTACAAATGAGTTCACTGCTTCCTTCACACTCTGAGGAAACCTTGTTCTTCAGGAAAGTCCCCTTTTAGTACTTCGTCAATTTCAATATCATTGTCAGTAAGCTAAATTAGTAAGCTAATAATCAATACTCCTGTTATGCACTTCAGTTTGGGGAGTTGGAGGCGGAGAGATGAACGCTTATTCGAGCCTGCGCTCTAAGATTGGTCATGTGAGCGTTACTACAATCATCACTGTTGCGTTGCCTTATACTGACATCTCCATTTCGCAACTGACCTTTAAAGTAATAGGGCGCCTTTGATTTCCCGTTTATGCTCGACGGTATTAAATTTTTTTTGTTGTTTGCCGACTTAACCCCGTATACGGGACAGAGGTGCGTTCCTTCGCCCTTTTTCTCAAGCCTGTTTTTGTTATCATTTGTGTTTTGGAATTTGTTACTTCATCGACAAGGACTTACATAGGTGATCAATGTCTTTGTTCTGTAATATGAGTGCTTTCTTGTTTTACATCTTTGCGTGTAGTTTCAAATAATCTTTCAAACAATGACTATGGTTTTAGGAAATCAGACTTCTTTCATCGTTGAGTATCTTAAACAATGTTGAGTATCTTAATTTTCTCAACGGTCCGGAAGAAAACCAAAAAAATGACCAGGAAGCTATTGAGCTACTTGGTATCGCCATTTGGTAAATGAAGATAAAAGTTCACTATCGACGGAAGCTGCAAACAAGACTGGATATCTTCCCATTCGCAGAATACTGCAAATTCGAGAGAGAAGCAAGAATATCGTAGAATCCTGTAACGCACAGGCAGCCAAACCAACAAAAAGAGTAATCCTAGAAGAACTACATTAAATCCCCGCGAGAAAGAAAACTTTTGACGATAGAACCTTTGCGACCGGCTTTCCGAAGTTCTTATCAAAGGTTAACGAAGAAATTCATCAAAGATGTTATGGTACTTACGAGACGCCACTACCGTTCAGGCAAGAATCGATTACGTTGCCTAACAACAAGGAAGATGCTCCGAATTGTGTCAACAGATTGGAAAAAAAGGCTTAAGCATAAGGCAGACTACCTGGCCCTTTTTAAGCAATACAATCAGCGGTGGCCACGCCAAGAATTTTCCAGGCGAAGAGGTTTCAAAGGAAAATAGTGCGGTGCATCCCGCATACCACCCCGTATACCAACCAAAAACTCAAGGCAAAATAAGAGTCGTTTTCATATGTCGAGTGGAATTTCAGGCGAATCCTTCAACAGATGCCTCATCTAAGGCAGGATCGAACAAACAACTTAGTATGTTGTGCCGCTTTCGTCAGGAACTTGTAGCTGTCATGGGCAATTTTGAAGGCATGTTCCACCAGGTCCCCGTAAACCCACAGAGCGTCGCAATTTTTTCTGCTGGCCACATCGACAGTGACCCAAAGGACTATAGGACTAAAGGCTGCGCTAACTTCGCCTTAAAGAAGTTCGCAAGTGACGACGTATATCTATACGAAGAAGAAGAGGCTAGCTTCCTATATAACCGTCTCTATGTGGATAACAGCTTGAAATCTTTAGTTTGATGTAATATTAAAGGTTGTTATTCTAGTTGTTGTTATGTTATAAACAATAAACGCAGCACTCAATTGGTTTCCGCTAGTAGCTCCTTTTGTTTCGTCAAACCACGCATATGTGCACAGCGCTGCATATTTAGCAGTAAACGTTAAGAAACTCAATCACAGGCAGATTCCTGTTAACCCCAGTGAGTTGATTGGCGAGTTTCCCCCACAAGCCTTCAACATCGATGTTCCCGTCCGCACGTCTCCTGTCCAATCATCTGAGCACATGATAGCCTTTTAAGAATAAAACTGCAAATTCAAAATCGTTTATTGCAGCCAGGGGTTTATTTATTACAACAGCTGCGATTCTCCAGAACAAGATTTCGACAACTGGAATTAAAAAAGGTTTCAGTTACGTCTATAATACACTGTCTTCAAAGCTAAATGTTTGGTAATATTTACAACTTCGTTTACAAATGTCCTCCATGCAACCTCCATACTCCAGTGATATTACTCCTTTCGTGGTATTGGGTTTACAATTATACTCTCAATACACTCAAACACGGTGTGTATATCTTGATCAGCATTGACGTGCTCCCCAGTCCCCTCGTAGTACTCTCCGATTTCCTCAATGTAGGCCTGGTACTCGGCCATCCGGTGGTTGACCGCTGACTCTACGTCTTTTGGGCTCTGAATCGAAACAGAACACAAAGTTGTCCAAGCGCCAGTTGTTCAAAAGGTGGATAGCGCTATCCACCGGATAAATCACTATCCACTGGATAACGCAACGAGTTTTCCTAATAGTTATCCACTGTCAAATCCACTGAACTGGATAGTGATTTATCTATCTTCTGAACAACTGGCCCATAACTAACATTTTGTTTTGAACATTTGATAAAAACAGAGTACTCACCGTTTGTAACCGTTGTTTAACTTCATTTGTTCGAGGTGGATTGTAAATCAAGTGATATCTAACAAGCCAAAAGAAGTGAATAATTATTTGACAAACCCTTGAATAAAACGAACTCTCAGAACACAGAATCTGTGACAATTAAGAGGGCATTGGAGGGCTTCATTTTATGCCTTCAAGGTTTTAAAGTCCTAAAACTTTAAGGACATACAAAATTATAATCAACCTCGAATAGATCAATTTTAAAAAAATAATCACACAGTTTTCATATTTGCAGTAGACCGACCACATAAAAAGAGCCCCTTAACGCAAGCTCATCAAACCCTTCTTCTATCCCTATCAACTATTTTCACACGTTTTAAAATAATTATATTTTTCAGAGCGAAACTACTGAGGCATAATTATCTTTATCTCAAACAATTCGGGTGACGGTTTTCCGATATCCTTGTTAATAACGATCTAGTTAATGCCTAAACTTGGGAGGTATTGAGGTGTTGTAGGGGCGGCCGCTAAAAACGCTAATCGAGCCACTTTAGACGCCGTTTACACGGGTCTAGGGAAATTTGTGAACGGAAGAATTTTTTATCTGTGCAAACCCTTTACACGGAACCGTGCAAATTCTGTCACAGATTGTAGTGCTGTTTACACGAGTCCGTACTTCTGACCAGGTCAAAAGTTGTTCCGCCGGTCCCCGTGTAAACGAAAGGCGGATCGGTTCAAGTTTCTGGCTGTTGTCTGGACCCACTCGTGTAAACAGGGTCTAGATAACCCGGAATAACAGTAAACCGATTGAAAGTTAACGCCCCAGAATTGCTGGATGAAACACTTCAAACGGCTATATCCCAGTTAATGCACTTGTCACCGGAAACCCCCACCCACTCTTGGAATTTCATGTTTTTTAATTTAAAAGGTCTAAAATATCACATATTTTGTTACAGTTATGATTAATTGGCAACAGAACTTCGTGTCGTCCAATTCGGTCTGTAACCATACTCGTGATCCTGCTACGCCGTCGCCCGATTATGTTAATCACTTGTATGATTACAGACCGAATTGGATTCCACTCAGTCCTTTTACCATTATCAACGAAGATATTCATGCTCGGGGCAAAACCAACAGTGAATATGTTTAAAGAGGTTACTTGAAGTCCCAGTACTCACCTTTCCCCTGTAACTGGATCTACGCTTCTCAAGGTTAGTCTCTCAAGGATAGTGTCTGATGGTACGTCCATAAACACCACCCTTAATCAATCAACAACACTGATGAGTAATCACATTAATGTCCTCATATGTGTTTAAGTAAGACTCGCAAATTTTACTGACTACCAAGCCTCGTTTTGCAATTTTCAACCTAAAAACGTTTCACAACACCGAATTCTCAGGACAGTTAAATGAAAAAGAATACTCACGCACCAACAGTGCAAATGCAAAAGAAAAAAAATCAAGCTGTCCACAAACGATGCACGTCGGGGATGAAACTTGAAATATGGCGTAAACATTTATAGGGTTATTACAGGTTTAAGTCATTTTCTGTAGCTTCCCCCTAACTATGGCATGCTCTGCTTCTCGACATTTCGATGCCACTACATTTAAAAATTCTACATACAGCTATGTGACCACTGTATAATCTGTTATAAAAGATTGAGCGAACGTATTCGGGCTTGTGTACCTATTGGGTTCATATCCAGCTCTCGTTAACGACTCTGCTTGCTCCCTGGTCTTGGG